TGTAAACATAGTTGGACCTACTCTTGCAGCCAGCCTTCAACCTCTGTCACATCGTTGTAATGTTGCTTCTCTTTCTCTTTTTTACAAATACTATAATGGGCACTGCTCTAAAGAGCTAGTGTCTCTTGTGCCACCTACAAAAATTTGTTTTCGCGTTACTCATCATTCAATTAAGTCTCATTCTTTTTCTGTTACTGTTCCTAAGTGCTCCAAAAACTCTTATTCGTCTAGTTTTTTTCCTTGAACATCAGTTCTTTGGAATTCGCTTCCTTCATCTTGCTTTCCTGATTCATATAATTTGCAATCTTTTAAGTCGTCTGTCAATCGTTATCTTGCTCTACAATCTTCATCTTTTCTCTTCCAGTAACTTTAAACACTAATTAGTGGTTGCTTGGAGCCTTGTTGGAAGCGAAGATGTTGAAAGAAAGAAAGAAAGAATATATATATTGTTTAAATAGGGAAGGTTAAGCATAACAATATTAAAAAAAAAATTAGTTTATATTAAAATTAAAAATAATTTACATTATATATAAAAATATATTTCATATACCTTTTGGAATATCTGAATTCTCTTTTAACATCATTTGTGTGGCATTTATTCAAAAAGTATTAGTAAAAAAAAGCAACTGAGATTTTTTTAAAGAAACAAATTGTTTTATAAAAAAAAAAAAGTTAATTTTAAAAGATTTTAAATTAAATATGACTTTAAAAAATGAAATTTAGTTTTGTTGGAATTTAAAATGTAAAACGTAAATACAATATGTAAATCAAGCTCTCCTGGAAAGTGTGTGCAATTGCACGCCTTGTTTGTACACATTTCTATTTTCTATATATGCAAGAACTATAAGAAATTTTTTTTTTTCTTACGTTTATTTGTTTTACGTCATTTTGCTTTTAAAAATGTTTTGACTATATTTGACGTTTTTTCTCAATACTTGTATAGTAGTACTTGTTAGTATAGTATAGTAGTAGTAGTACTTATATAATACTTATATAAGCACTACTAATTATATAAGTACTATTACTTATATAAGTACTAAAATGCAGTAGTAGTGTAGTGGTAGAGCGCTTGCTTCATAAGCGAGAGGTTTCAAGTTCGATCCCCACCAGGTCCCTGGTAGTACCACGCTCAACTTGTTTCTCCTTGCAGAGGCCTTGTTTGTTAAGGTTCATGTTTCGGAATTATAGAGTCGAGAGAGGGTTATAACCACAATTAAGCAGCCTCTTCATCTGTAGTGTCTTTTTTGGCTTTGGGAACGTAAATTAACATTAAAAAAATAATGATGATATAGTAGGAAAATTAGAAAATATATTGATATTTATTTGTAAAATATATTATTTGATTTTTCAAACGTAACAAGATTATAATGTAAAAAATAATAAAACTTCATTAAAACTAACAATGAATAAAACTAATAAATCTAAATTATTTAGTTATAATTGCTGTCATCATTTGTAAATTCATCATTGTCCATTTTGTTACTTTTATGTTTATCTGAGCCCGATATACTATTCACTGTCCTCGTATTCTTGAAATAAATTATTTATACCAGATAGTTCATTTTCAGAAAAAGTTATTTCACTTTTAACTGGTATGGATTTGATATCTTGGTTTAATATTTTTGGTTAAATAGGAAATTTAACAATTTTATATTTTTTTACATATTTATATACTATTTTTTTCAAATATTTCATTACGTTGGTCATCCTTCCATACATGGTTATTTCCAGCAATCAACATGCATTGTTGCAAGGTACGATGTTTCATACTAAGTTACTGATCAGTAAAGATTGTAGAAAGCATTCTGAAACATCTTTCAACTGTGCTGTTAGACAAAGATAAGCAACTCCGATAATAAAAGAATATTTGGGAAACCTTTTTTTTAAATATGTAAACAGCTTTTCCCAAACTTCTACGCAAGGTGAGTTTTTATAAAATAATCTTACCACTAATTGTAAAAACTTCCATTCTTCGAAAACCATTGCTTCTTGAAAGTTTGTAATTTCAAGCGGCTCGCAAAAATGTTCTATATGATACTATATACTTTTTAAGCCATTATCTTGATCGTATGTTCAAAATTTAGGATCCAGCCATATCATGAATGTGAACACAGGATTATTTTAGAATGTTGCGAATCGACTATTAATTAAAAGTATCAATACGTTTATGCAACCTTTTCATAGCTTTCAAAGTCCTCGTGTTTTGCATTTATCATGCCATCAAGTTTGATGAATGTGAACACAGGATTATTTTTGAATGTTGCGAATCGACTATTAATTAAAAGTATCAATACGTTAATGCAATCTTTTCATAGCTTTCAAAGTCCTCGTGTTTTACATTTATCATGCCATCAAGTTTGATGAATGTGAACACAGGATTATTTTTGAATGTTGCGAATCGACTATTAATTAAAAGTATCAATACGTTTATGCAATCTTTTCATAGCTTTCAAAGTCCTTGTGTTTTGCATTTATCATACCATCAAGTTTGATGTCAATTTCTTTTTTTTGGTTTTCTTTTTTTTGTCAACAGCAATTATATATTCAGATTCAATGATAATGAGACCACCTTCTTCTTTAATTACAAATTTTCTCGTGGAGCTACTATTCTTATAATATGCTTCCTCAGTTATCCTACTATGTTTCCTCTACAGCCAGTGCAGTTAACTGAGTTATTGTTAGGGCAATTAGCGAATCAACTTCCAAAGCCATCAAAACATTTCTTTCAAAGAAAAGTGATAAGATACTGATTGCATTAAGCAAATCCAGATAAATACCAATTTTGCATAAGAAGGCATAGTTTGTATATTTCCTTAAAAGCCCTTCTGTTTTTGCTTGTTTCCTTAAGATACCCTTCATTGTTTGCTAGTGCGTTTGGTTAGGCAACTAGATAAGCTGGGCATTTATGCAAAAGGTTGGTGTAACTTTTTATACGATGTGATGCGATTCGAGTTCTTTGAATTTTATTCAGGGTGTAATACTGGATACGTAGTGCAGCAACAGCATGTTTACATGATTTTTTCAGTTTACTTGAATTTCTTAATAAATAAAATAGAGTAGTATAAACATTATCGCAATCCGTTAAGTTTTAATCTGTGATTAACACAGTGTATGTTAACTAATCATAGTTGCGTATTTTTAAATTGTGTTAAAGCCCCACTGTAGATACCCATATTTACATTTGCTCCATTAACTGTTGCTGATACCAACTTTGTACGGTAATTTGTAATTGAGAGCAGAACTTTACATTTAGTTATGGTATTTTCAATGAAAACACTGTATAATGCCAATTTAAGGAGTCAGCGTCATTTCCATTAAAATCAGCTATATTACATAATGCAATGAAAAAGTAACATGGAAGACCAGCATTTTAGACTCACTAGTATTATTTCTTTTTTGCTGCCTGTTTTCCAAGCTTGACTTCATCAGAAAGCAAAGCCATAAAAGAATTGTTGACAATAATTAATGCTACTTCCTCCTTTATTGCCTCGGCAATGCAATTAATGAGTTCTCTGGCTAAGAAATAAAGAATTCATAAAAAGTACCTTAAAGATTTATTAACAAAACACGTAAAAAAAAAAAAGATTTGCTAACAAAACATGAAAAATAAAATAAAATTTATAAGAGATTTCTATTAACTTATTATTGCTCTGCTCATTTAAGAAAATTGAGCAATATATTTTTAGGAAAGCAATAATAAATAATACTATATATATATATATATATATATATATATATATATATATATATATATATATATATATATATAACGTACCTGCATTTTTGTCGCTTTTTCCTTGTAATAATTTGAAACCATTGTCATGCTAAACCTTTACAAGCAACTCGAAATGACTATGTGGCATAGCAAAATGCAAAGCCATTTCATATGCAGTGTGCACTTTAAATATGCTTTATTAGTTGATTCGTTTATTGAGTTATTCACGTCAGTTATTGGGCTCTCAGACATTGTCACACTTATAGTAGAAGAGTTACTAACTTTGTCTAATCATTTATCTTCTTTGTGTGATTTTGTCAATAAGTGCCTCATAACCTGGAAGATCAGTGATATAAGTAAGATTACATGATTGCTTTTTTTATGATTTCTAATGTGCTATATATTATAAATATTAAACCTGATAATTGAGTTACAACATTAACTCCATTTAAAAAAGCGTTTAAAGAATTTCTAGCAGACCCCAATACTAAAGTTTTGCTTTGAATGGTGTTTCCATGCTTCACGCAAAGTTTTCACCATATTTTTACAACAGTGTCTACATTTTTAACTTTTATAACTTCTTGACCAAGAAAATTGCATTTTCATGATTGAAGTTTTTAATGATTTTGTAAATTTTTATAAAAGTTTTGTACTCATTTTTCCTCTCTCACATCTAACTCTAAGCTGATTTATTATTTTCAAAGCTCCCCTTTTGCTACATTGCAGTAAATTAATAAATTTTTTAATGACGGAAGAAAGTAAATAGAAGAATAGATTGGTTTCTTTTATAAATGTATTTAACACATTTAATGCCTGTCTGAAATTGTTTCCTTTATATAGCCCAATTTACAACATTAATATTGGAACGGTTTAATCAGAACTAGAGATAATGAAGATAACAATTGCTCATTTGAAAAATTGTCTTTAAAAACTTAAAAAACACTTTAAATAGCCACTAACATTTTTGTTAAAAAAGTTCAGTAAATTACTGATCCACTACAAGCTTTTGAAGCATAGTCAATAACAACAGCTCATCTAATAAACTATCAAGTTTATATGCACAATTAGGAAAATCCAATGAAAAAATAAAAAATTAATAGCAATTAAAAAAATTAATAGCAACAAAATAATTAATAGCAATTACTTTTCTTGTGCATTAAAAAAAGTAAAGTTGAGCAAAGAAAAGAAATCAACAATTTTTATAAAAACTATCAATCTATACCATAAGTATGTGATAATAATGTATTTATATGTCATAAGCAAATTAGGAAAATAAAATACAAACCAATTTTTTTTACTACTTGGGTTACACAAATCTTCCCATGCTTTCACAAGAGCAGTTTTGTTTTTTGTTAAGTTCACTGACATGATTTTTCTAAAATTGTATACTACTATTATTAAAACACTTAACTAATGTCATTAAAAGGTTCTTATACAATAATATATACTACATTATACTATTATATATATATATATATATATATATATATATATATATATATATATATATATATATATATATATATAATATATATAAAATATATATATAAGTATAATATATATATATACACACACACACACACACACACACACATATATATATATATATACGGTAATATATATATATACATATATGTATATATATATATTAAGCTGGTTCAGATTAAGTAAAAAAAAATTTTCAAACTAGAGTGGAAGCTTATAAGGTGCACAGACCTTTGCTTTATATATAAGATTTATTTTTTTTAATTTAAAAAAAGTTCAAAGGTTGCACACAACACAAAAGTACTTTTTTTTTTTAATATCCTTTTTTGACATTTTTGACCCATGTGTCACCCTTCAATATTATTTAATTGAATTTTTTTTTTAATTAATTTATTCTCACAATGACTAATATTGAAAAAAAAATTGGCACTCTTTATGTATATTTTTTTTCTTAACACTGAAAAAGTTATAGAAAAAGTGATAAAGTAGACAAAAAAAATATTTCCCTATTTCTACAGTCTTTCTTATTACAAAATCCACTTTAATTAGTCAAATTATAAATAATTTATTAAAACATGATATATTATTTTGGATATTAAACTTAGTGAAGTAACTAAAGTAAGGTGGATCAGTTCTCCCCTATTAATATATCTTTCTAGTTGCAGGAGGACAAGTGAGAAAAACAAAATTAACGCAATATTAGAATTTTTTTAAACTATTAACAAATTATTGTTTAAAAATACTATTAGTTGTGTTTGATGCTAAATATGTTCCTTTTTCCTCTTGCCTACTTCTTTTGCAATAATTAAACAAGAACGAATCCAGTCTTTTCTTCTATTTGGTTGCTTTTCCAATCAGTTCTTTAACTAGTTTAATGGTCCTCTCTGATGAGTCATTGACCACATCAAGGAATAATAATTTCAAACTCAAGATAAAAATAGTTAAACTTCCAGAACTTCCAGAAACTTCCAGAAGCTCTTTATTGACCATAACACATTCAAGTGGATATACTTTAGGTTTTGCGGGAAGTGCACTGTACAATGCTTTGATAATATCTTCTCTGTTCGGGTAATGTTCATCTGCTAAAGCAAGCACAACTAAGGCAGGATCAAGATACCAGCTGTGCCTGCCAAATGATTTTATTACTGAAATAGCTCCATGAAGACTTTTACCCATGAACCTTTTCATCTGTCACAGCGTTTTCATTTCCTACAAAGTATTTTAACAAAAATATATTAATTTTTCAATCAAACAATTAACTAATCTTTTTTAATCTGTTTTCTTATTTCTTCTAATTATTTTTAACCTTATATGAAGCAGCAGTTGCAGATACTACTCTAAGGAACCATAGAGTGTAAAAGATACCTACAAACATAGCCATATTTCTTTTATATTTTCCTCTGATGAGTATGGAATGATTTCCAACAATAAATATAATTTAAGGTAATAAAATGCTTTTGCCATGAATCTTGCATGATGCAATAGACCAGGAATATGAAATTTGAACCTCTCTTTTTGAGAAACTGTCTTTAATAATTTTAGGTGTTTAAAGAGTTGATTGTCTGGAATAGACATTTTACTACCGGGAGAAATCTTGTTAAAGTGGATAATATATCTTTCTAAAACAAGATGTCTACAGGCAAGGAAATATAGTGGCTGCCCAAGCTTATGCGCCATTCTTGTGTTTACTCCATGGTACTTTCTAGTATTGGAAGCAGTAGCATCAAAACATATACACTGTATATGATAACTGAGGTCATAAGATTCAATTATATTGTAAACTGCTTAGAAGTGCGTTTCTACAGCACCTGATTCAATATGAGGAATGCCTAGCTTTTCTCAACCACTTGCACTAGTACAGTTTATCTTTCTCTTGTGGCTGAAACATGATGATGATTTAGATAAAACAAAATCATTTATTTCTCCTCCTGAGATAGCTATAACACAGGCTGTCAAGCAGCAACTTTCGAAAAAAATGACAAAAAATGACGGTATTTTGAGAATAAAAATGACAAAAACTGAAAAAAAATGACTGATTTCATTATAAAAATGAAAAGTTCAATAATTTTATTATGAAAATAACAAACAAAATCATCTGCCATCACTAATTTCTTTTAAAAATGAAAATCTCAATGCTTGTTTAACATGCAATAAAATATTTTTCCAAAGTCTAAAATAATTAACATAAATAAATAAATTTTGTTGACTAATTTAACTAAACCAACAGTTCAAGCTCTATTATATTTACAAAAACTTTCAAACTTTTAACGACTACTTTAATTTTTTGCAACGCTTAATTATTCTATCCATTTCACTATTACGTTTTAAACCAATATTTTCTCTCAACTTTTTCAGTTAATTTCTATGAGATGTAGCATTTTCAAGACTTCTTTTTGCGCTGTTTATCATTTCATGGGCAATTTTTATACCCATCATGTCTTCCTTAATAATGGCACTTTGCATAGATTTTGCTGCTTTATCAAGCATTCTCTGAGCAAGCTGAAACTTAAAATCTGCATTTTTTTTATCATTCTTTAGACTTTTTTCCTGTTGATCTAAATTTTTATTTTTATTTTCAACTTTTTCAAGCATTTCTTTCTATTCTTTTTCTTTATTCATTAGTTCTTGCCCATGAATATAATTTTTTCTTTTTTCTTCGTCTTCTTCAGCTTTTCTTTTTTTATATATTTTATGAGCATTTTGAACAGCTTGAACAACATCTTTGGAGAGTGCATCAACATTATATGCTCCTTTGCAATTCTTGCATATTCTTTTGATATTCTCAAAGCCATTAATGTTTCATTATTTAGATTTACTCTCCCAGAAGTCAATGTATTTTTGTTATCAGATAAACTTCGCTCAGCACTGGCATTTCCATTCTGAATTGTTAAACAGCTCTTAACAACTTTACTGAGATACCCATACTTTGTTTTTCCATATTCAATGTTACTTTCAACTTTAGCCCAGTAATGGTCTACTATTTTTAGTTTTTTTGTATCAGAATCTATATACCAGTCTTTTGATATATTAGCTGCTTGGTATAATTTCCATTCATCTTTCACAAATGATACCTGTACAAAAATTAAGATAAAATTGTTATGGAGAAAGTGTTAACATTTAAAATTAAAGGAAAATTTAACTATATTAAAATTAAAATGGCTCGTTAACTAATAATTTACAAACAACAATTTATGATTTGTAAATTAAACTAATAATTAGTAAATTTTGAAAATGTTAAATAATATATTTATATGGTTAACATACTCTGTTATTTTAATCATATAGTAGATTATGTTAACAATATATATACTTATATTATTTAAAATTTTCGAAATTTACTTATTATTAGTTTAATTTAAAAATCAGAAATTATGTATGATTATATATATTTATATATATATATATATATATATATATATATATATATATATATATATATATATATATATATATATATATATATATATATATATATATTATATATATATATATATATATATATATATATATATATTATATTACAGTTATTTAATATAAACTTATTTAAATATGGCATCGTAACTGCTATTTGCCCAATTGCATTAACAGTCCAAAGTTCTGATCTCATTTGAGCACCCAAACAAGTCATATCTTTTAATATCTGCGAATCAAGTGGAAGTTTTTTTTGCAAGTGTTTTACAACAGATATATATCCATCTCTCATTTGCTGTAAGCATATCTTTTTTTTCACATGATATTTTGTTCACCTAAAACATATTTATACTGAAAATCTACATCAATGAAAATGAATAAAAAAACTTAATTTTCAATAATATAATATCTAATAATTAATACAATAAACAAAATAGTTTATATTGCCTAGTACACTTACTTATATATACTTACCAAGTACA